ACTTAGCCAATGTCCCCCAGTTAGCAGGTGAGAGAATCTACACCAAAGCCCAGGCCTCCTGCCCTCTGCCTCTCTTTCCTCTTGCCCAGGCTGAAAAGCTGCCTGAGCTTCTGCCTATAAGGAGCTGAGGGGTGGGATTGAAGCTTGTGGACAGACACTTGCAGCTGCCTCAGCACTGGTGACTGCTGGCACCAAACATCTGCTGAGATCGCGGAGGGGATGTGAGTGGTTGCTGCCGAGAGCCTCTGCAGAGGTGTGAAGCGCTGCAGCGTCAGATCTCTTGGAACCTGCCTGGGACCTGGGGGCAGGACGGTGTACACCTGAGCTGGGTGAGTGGGGCTCGATTTTGACTCCAAATACTCCCTGAGAACACGGAAAACAACTTGAGGTTCCCAGAGCTAGGGAATGGACATAGAACACGTTAACTTAGAAACCAGAAAATGGGCCGGGTGTGGTGGCTCACACCTTAATCCTAGCAATTTGTGAGGCTGAGGGGAGTGGATCACCTGAGGTCACGAGTTCGAGAGCAACCTGACCAATATGGTGATACCCTGTCTCTCCTAAAAATAAAAATAAAAATAAAAATAAATAGCCAGGTGTGGTGGTGGATACCTGTAATCCCAGCTACTCGGGAGGCTGAGGCAGGAGAGTCTCTTGAACCCAGGAGGTTGTAGAAAAAAAGCCAGCTATGGTGGCATGTGCCTGTAGTTTCGACTCATGCCCCTGTGCCCGAGTGAGACTTCATCTCAAAAAAAAAAAAAAAAAAAAAAAAAGGAAGGAAAGAAGGAAAGAAAGAGAAAGAAGGAAAGAAGGAGAGAAAGAAGGAAAGAAGGAAAAAAAGAAAGACCAGAAAAAGACGGTGCTCCAAGTGGCCAGGATCACCATAGGGGCCATTCTGTTCCAGGTGAGATGGGAACCCCCAGAAGAGCAACGCCCCAACTCAGGTCAGAATTCCCGGTAGACCCCCACCACCATCAATCAATCCCATGTGCACTGGTGGGACTGACTCAAGAAAGAAAGGACATGAAAAGAGGGGACTGCCCCCACAATTATGGGGAGAAATGGCCCAACTTAAAGGAAGCCAAATACAGGAGATGGGAATTAAACCCAGTACTGGGTTCTAGACCCCAGGCGAGGTGGATTCTTTGAGCTCCCTGTCTCTAGCGAGTGATCTTACCAGATTCTGTGTGGGTGGATGTCAGAACATACAAGGGAAGAGGGAGAACTGGAGAGGGGAAGATGTTAGTGAACACAGCCAAGCTAGGAAAGGGGAAGGCTGGCCTCTCACAGGTACTGGCCGCTGCGGATCTTAGTTCTAGTCATAGTGACTGGCCGCCTTATCAAAGCAGCACCGCTGGGAAAAGGTCAGAGCCCACAATGATGACCACGAAACTCAGAGCAGTATCCACCCCTGCGGCCCGCCTGTAGCCTACCTGGAGGGCCTCCTGAAAATTAAACTCCACATTCACACCAACCTGCCCGTTGCATCTAGGTGAAAAGCGCATCAGATCATGCAGCCTCAAGTCTGCGCTCTTAATCAACTGTCACCACGAGTAATAATTATACCTTGAGAAACAGCAGAGTGACTCAAAGAGCTGTCCCCTCCCCCCTCGCCGCCCCCTCGCACAGCTCGGAGCTTTGTACACAGTGTTAAGAGGCCCGGAAAGTGAAGGCACCATTTTCTCCTGCCTGTCAGCTCGAGGTACACTTCAAATGACCATCTGGACTTCAGTGCCCGATGGGCAGCCGTACACAGTCTCTTCGCTGTCTAAAGAGTTAATTATGCCTGGCTGTTCCCAAAACAGTGAACTGAGAGCGAGGCTAGGCAGAAAGAAACATCACTGAATATGTGCTGCCTGCTTGTGAGACAGTGCTTGGGGGAAGCTGCCTGATGCCTCGAAGAAGAGGGCCAATAAACTACGGAAAAATAAATGGTGCTGCCCCACCAGTTCAGATATGGCCATATGTGTAAAAACGCTGGAGAGCTCACATTTACTGGATGTGTATCATGTGCCTGTTAGGGGACTGAATGTTTTATTGTACTTCAATGCTATTATCAAGCGGGTGTACAAGACCATCTGGGAAGCTGAAATATTGAAATAGTCCATCCTCGTTGGAAATGGCCATGCCACAGTCCCCAAAGGCCTGTGGCACCCCCAGACTCCCCAAGATGCACTGATGGGTGAGCCTGGCATGGAAGGGGGCCTCTCTGACCCTGCTCAGGGTAATGGTGGTGTCCGTTCTGTTTGATCTGTGCTCAGGTTTTGGTGGCTGTGAATATTTTAAATCTCTCTCTAATACTTACTATCTCACGCCACTCTTACCCAAAGCCCTGTTATTGTCTCCATCTTGCAGATAGGAAGCTAGGGCCAAATGACCTACCTAAGGTCACTCGGGGGTCCCAAACCTGGTCTGGAACCCAGGCAGACTGACTCTGAGCCTGAGCTGTTGACCACCTGCTTCGACAGACAAGGCTTAAAAGTGTTGCAGAGTCACCGCTGTCCCTGCTCTTTCTCCTTGACTCTGGAACTGACCCAAACTTCACAAGAAACTCTTCATCCTCAAGCCAGCAAAACTTATCTTCATCAGCACACTTTCATCCCCAAGCACGTCGCAGCTATGTATCTCTACTCCATCCCCCATGTGGCCATCTACCTTGGAACCCCATTTACCTAAGAGGCCAGGGTCACATGGTCCTGAGGCATATGGGTCCCGGGCAGGGGAAACTAGAGACTGAGTTTCTACCATGCAGGGTAGCCCCAGGGTAGCCTCCCTCCCCTACCAGTCCTCACCATCACTTTCCTTTGTCCTAGCAGGATTTGGGGCACACAAAGCTATTGCTGTCACTATGGAGAGCTAAGTGCCAAGAGACTTGGACTTTCTCCAGGGTCCTCTGCACAGTGAAACAACACTGGAGCCGCAATGCAAAGACTCAGGCTGCTACAGGAGGGAGTTTGTGTCCCTAGCATGATGCTAGAAAGGTTGCACACACAGGCTCCTTCCTTGAAGATCTTCTCTAAGTTGGACACTGCCTAGTCTAGAATGAATTCGGTCCATCCTGGCTAGAGGAGCAATGAAAGACCTGCTTGGTCCACAAACAGCACTCATGTCGAGGTTCACTCAGTGTGGAATGCTGTTTCCCTGAGAATCTGCATGGGTGCTACAGCCATACTTAGGGAATGACACGTGTCTTTTATGCAGGACTTATCATAATCTTGATCATGCAAATATGCAAGACATGTCCAAGTGTAGGCTCATTTGAACGTTTCATCTATGGAACACCCCTGTCCATCTCATGCCACAGGGTCTCTCTGAACACCACTTGGCAAATAATCCAAGGGGCTCGCGACGAAACGTTCATCACAGCGAAATGGGGAGACTTAGCCACTGGAAAGAAGGGTCGTTTTTACCCTAGCAGCTCCCACAAGGGAAACACACTTTCCATTTCCTCTTTCTCTTAACCAATTCTTAACTTCCTCTAGGTTCCCTTTTAGGAGGACCCTAATTTGTTCTTACAAATGCTCCCATTGAAGCCAGAATCCAGTTCACAAGGCACCCTGACTTCCTCTGTCTCTTAGCACTACTTTTCTAATAAGGAACTCATCCTAAAACTGGGAATCACGATAGCCAGATTTCATGGCACATTTGTCTGCGCTGAACATTTTATGCAGCTTCTCTCCTTTAATTCATTCATATTTCCCTTCAGTTAATCTGCTTTGAGTCACTCTCGCTCTCTGCCCACCCATCATCCTTCCAGAAGAACGTTAGATATCCCCACCCCTTGAAGCAGGTCATATGGGAAGGGAACAGCAAAGCTAAAAACATAATGCAGACTGTGCCCCTCCCCCACCGTCTGGGGGCTAACCCCACGTGTTCTCACTGGAAGCAGGAACCCCACCATGTAACTCCCCTGAGGCCTCCGAGTGCTCACTTATGGAAGTAAATGAACCCAAGCACTCTGTTGTTTCGCTCACCCCGTGAAGGTGCTGCAAAATACGTACTGCGTTTCCTTTAGCACTCACTAGGCAATTCACACACATTATCAGGGATCCTCCCAACCACCTGCTCACCTGCTCTCACTTGAGAAGAGACCATTCTGAGGGTCAGAGCAGCTTACCAGTCTACATGGATTTGAACCCAGATCTGTCTGGATTTAATGCTGTTTCTTTCTGAGGTACCATACTCCTTCACCTCTATGGATAATCACTTCCTAACCAAGGAATTGATTTTTTTTTTTTTTAAATAACAAGGTCAATCAGTGAATGAGCTCAAAAATAAAATCCAGGAGGAATAGCTATGAGGTAAACCTGAGACTCTTCTCAGAGTGCCTGGGCTGTTTCCAGCCCTTCCTTCCCAGCACTGTGCCAACCTCAGCTTCTCCTAGAGCAGCGTTTCCAGATAAATACAGGGCACCCAGTTAAATGTGGATTTCAGAGAAACAGGGACTAATGTTTGAGTACAAGTATGTTCCACCTAGTTCATGGGACATACTTGTATTGAAAAAAAAAAAAAATTGGTGCTTACGTGAAATTCAAATCTGAGTGTTCCGTGCTTTTACTGGCTAGATCTGGCAACCCCTTCCGGCTGGGAAGTCTCCTGCCTGGCTCCAGGTCCTAAGTGTTGCTCCCACAGAAGTTGCCATGGCAGCCGCGCAGGCCTTCCAAAGCCTTCTAGAGCTGTCTCCACTCACCCCTGCCGCTTCCCCTCACCCCTGCCAGCTCCAGGCTCCCAACAAACCCAGCTACTTTCATTCTAGCCTCTGATCTCTGCACCTGCTGTTCTTTCCCCTCTTCTCTTCCCTGGCTAATTCCTACTGATCCTTCAGTTCTCAACTTGGAGTCACTTCTGCCAGGAAGCCCTCCTGGCTACTGCTGATCGGCTTCCTCAACAGCCCTCTAACGCAGGGTTGGGTAGCACCCTGCACCTTCCCCCTGGTAGCCCTCCTTTGACCACCCGCTACTCCACACTGCCCTGGGGAACAGAGGCCATGCCACACTCACCCTGTCTCCATACCCTGTACCTGCACCTGGCCGCAGGTGGGAAGCCGGGGAGCGCCTCCTGAATGATTGACGGCAGACCGTCCCGCCAAAGCTGGGGCTCTCCAGCGTGACTACTTCCTTCCTCCCTTCTGCCTTTAGTCACTTTTTAATCAGTGCCTTCCTCCCCCTCCCCCAGAGTGGTTGTGAAAGATGGGGCCTCAGGTCAGCAGCAGCACTCAGGGTGAGCAGGGAACTCCCCACATGGAGGGATCTCCGTGCAGCCACTACCGGGTCACACCACGCACACTGCCCCAGTGGGCCCAGGTCCAGCCACAGCCCAGCTTCCAAGTCCCTCCTGGCTAAAGCCACCTCTGGACACAACTTTCTGCTCTTGTCCTCCCATTGGCCCCTTCAATTAGCCGACTTGCTTCCAGTTTGGGGTGTGGGGAGACACCGGTGTCTTGTGGTAGAGGCTTAGGGCCGGTGGCAGGGCTTGCAGAACATCACCCATATGCTGCTCCACGTTCACCCACCCAAAGCGGTGCCCACGCGCAGCCTGATGACAGGCAGAGGCAGCTCGGAACTTAACCCTTGAGCAGCACTCAGAAGGTGGCTTCTCAAGGAACCAATGTGGCCAGTGTGAACTTCACACACGCGCGTGCGCGTGCACACACACACACACACACACACACACACACACACAGGAGCCCCCCTGTTCCCCAGAACAGCCCTGCTTTCCTCCAGTCAGGGCTTGATTCAAAAGATGTCCTCTCAGGGGGCAAGGAGTGGCTGCAGAGGAGTGGGGGTGGGCTGGGGTGAGACCAGCACCCCAGGGGTTGCAGAAGGGCCCGGGAGGGAGCAGGGAGTGGGGCAAGAGCAGGCAGAGGTCTGAGGCAGGAGCTGAACCCTCCCACCCCATGGCCCCTAACCTGATCTTTAGAGGTGGCAGCCTGGCTGTGCCCTCACACCGTCACCCCCAGCCTCCCCTGTCTGAATATGTTGAGAGGACAAAGAGGGAGAAACACTCTATAGTGTCAAATTTACTCCAAAAATAGAACTCCTCTCTCCGCAGAAGGCTGGCGAGCTCCGGGCGTGTGCACGGCACCCGCGGCTCCCATTTCCTGGGTCTGTGGCTGTTTCTCCGGGAACTCCCAGCTCAGGTGCCCGGGATCCCGGAATTGCCGTCCCCAACCCCTGCCACCCGTCAAGCCACCAACTTCTGCCGGGCACAGCCCCGGCTCACAGGACGGACTCACCCAGGGAGGCGCGGACTCTGGCAGTGACTGCTCCTCGGCCCCACCAGGTGAGCCGGGGCTGCGGCAACTACAGGTGAGTTCGGCCGGGCAGGTAGGTGTGCAGCGGCTCCGGCTCGGCTCCGGAGGCTGTGGCTGAGTAAAAGGGCTGACAGGTTAGAGTTTCCCCCTCCTCCTCTGAGTTGTTAACCACACCCCTGCTGCTCTCCTCCCCACTTCCTTAAAGGGTGGGGTATGTTGTCTGTGTGTGCCGGCTCCAGCCTTTTACCATAAACTCTGAAATAGACGCTGCCTCCAATTCCCTGAGAGCCAGGCCAACCTGGGGGGCAATCTCTGCCTTCCCCGTTGGCCGCAAATGATATCCTCGCATTTATGTGCCCCTTGTAAGCAGCTGATTCCCCAGTTCCTAACACCCCTCCATCCTCTACCCACTCCACCTGCAGCCTTTTGGAGGCCAAAAGGTGTGTGTGAAGGGGGCAGGTGGGAAACCAACTTCTCAGGCTGGCTCTCCCCAGACGCCCGGCAGTGGGAGATGTTACCTGCTTGGTACTCTGAGCACCTGCGTCCTCATCTCTCCACCTCCTAAAGTGGCCCCTGTCCCTTTGCAGGTGTGAAAGATCAGGCCGGGCACAGTGGCTCATGCCTGTAATCCCAGCACTTTGGGAGGCTGAGGCAGGTAGATCATGAGGTCAAGAGATTGAGACCATCCTGGCCAACATGGTGAAACGCTGTCTCTACTAAAATTACAAAAATTAGCTGGGCATGATGGCGTGCACCGGTAGTCCCAGCTACTCAGGGGGCTGAGGCAGGATAATTGCTTGAACCCAGGAGGCAGAGACTGCAGTGAGTCGAGATCGTGCCACTGCACTCCAGTCTGGCGACAGAGTGAGACGCTGAAAAAAAAAAAAAAAAAAAAATTCAACCACCACCAGGGATAACTGGTCCAGGTCCTTGAACACCGAAGACCAGGTCCCTGAGCTGTGCTCAAGTAGGGTCTGAGGAAAGCACAAGAATAGAGATGCTGGACAGCCCCTTCCAGGGGCCCCGTCTCCACATCCCTCCAGCTGGCTGCCCAGAGGCTGGTCCCCTCTTTCCTCAGGCCAGCAGGGCAGTGAGAGGGGGGCAGGCACTCAAGGGCACTTAGCAACACTTCCTCCCTATCCCTAGAAAGACTCTAGACTTGCTTGAGTAGTAGGAGGAGGTGACCTGCACTTGGCGTAAGGTTACAAAGCTGGGGTGCACCCAGCATCACCCACATCCTACAAGGCCCTCTCCAGAACCCCTGTCCCAAGCTTCTTTATTCTGTGTCCTGTGGAGGACTGGAGCCTGATTCCCAGGGCTGCCCTGTTGCACAATTCTATAGACGGCATTCACAACGTACTTCCTGAGAATGGCGCCCCCCTGGAGTCGTGCCAAGGAAGCACTCAGTTTCCAAGATTGCATTTGACGTCTTCTCATTTCTGAAAAGAAATTGGAGACTTAGATTAATTAACAAATTCAGGATGTCAATGTTTCTCAAAGTATTATTGGTGGACTACCCATAGCTATTGGCTAGATGCCACTCTCGGTCCCCTGAAGATCAGACTCTCTACAGCTGGAGCCCCCCCCCCCACACCCTGACCCCTTCCTGTTCATACTATTACAGATTTGTCACGTTCCCAGCACTCAGCATCTTGGAGGTAATCTTGGTGACTACACAGTGGTCAGGAGGTCAGAAGGTGGCCAAGTGGGAGATCATGGCCAGGGATGGGAGAGACAAGACAAGTCAGGCAGGGGTAAACTGAAGTTAGCAGGGAAGGTGTGGGGATGAGGAGACGGGTAACTGACTAGATGGCAAGGACATGGTCAAAGGGCATCCAGCAGTAGGTGTCCCCTCCATATTCTTATGCTTGGGAATGAAGTGATGAAGCCTGAGTGGCACGAAAATTAGTTATCTGGGTGAGTTGCTGAGAGTCTGTGCAGGGGGTGACAGTGGGAACTAAAAGCAAAGCCAATCAGGGCCTGATTACGAAAAGGTGAGTTTGTGTGTGCTGCCCCTGTGTGGCCACATGCATGAACTACAATCTTATCTTGCTGGGACCAATTCCGGGAAGGTGAGTTTTCAGAGATTTAGTTTTCAGAGGTTGAATTCTTCAGCACTTTTTAAAAAATCTCCAAAACCGACCTCATAGAATCATGAAATCATAGGTTTTTGAATGACAAAAGACATGGAGAAACTCTCTGGGGTGGCCAACTCTCGTCAGCTCTCCTTAGGTTCAGTCCAGTGTCATGCACAAGCAACTCAGGTCACACACTTATGCCTGTTACTGCCTTTTAAAAACCCTATCAGAAATGCCTTCAGGAGCCCTCAAAGTCTACAGAAATCTTTCAAAAATGCTATTCATGGCGATGCTATCCATATGGCATAGGTTGCAATAACGATCTACCCCAATTGGAAAAGAAAAATATTTCCCTTCTGCCTACTTCTGCCTGTGTCTCAAGCTGACCAAGTGCCCTAATTGTGGGGGGTTTTGGGAGGACGTGTACCTGGGTCAGCAGAAGGAGACTGAGGAAAAAGGCCTTTGAGCAAATGTCCTTTCTAGTTGACGGGCTTTTCCATTTAGATGTTCCACTCTTACCCCAAACTCAGGTCTATAACCTTGGCTCATCTTGCTCTTCAAACAAAGCCCGTTCCAGCCCTCCTGTGAATGTCAACAAGACAGGAGTCACCTCTGACTCTCCCTCTCCCTCCTTACCCCACAGCCATGCAAAATCTCCAAGTCCTAGTCCCAGCAAGCATTTTTCCCATTTCTCATTTTCTTTCCTGTCCTATTGCCCCTCCCCAGTCCAGGTTCTCTTTTCTAATGTTTGAACTCTTGTGAAGAGTCCCACACCCCCACCCTAGGAGTAGTTGGAACTGGAGATCGCAAAGGTAGTTGAGCTGGTGATTAATTTTGGGGATGGCATTTGAAACCAGAAGAATGGACAAGATTGTCTAAGGCCAGAGTCAGAGAGAACAGAGGACTTCAAGTCATGCTCTTACCAGGAGCACATGAATGAAGACCCGAAGGTCAAGTGGGGTGGGCTGATGAATAAACTGGAAGTGAAAACATGAAGGCAGCATGTGGCTGTTGAGTCCTGGAGAGCTTGGCCGCCAAGGGTGATTGAGACTGGGGTGTTGAGGGGGAGGGGCTGTGGGTTGAAAGAGGACTGTTTTGTCCTTTGTTTTAGATGATAACCAGTGGGGCTGGTTTCAATGCTCATAGGAAAGATCCGGTCAAGAGGGAAGAGGTTGTGACTTTGGACAAGTGAATCCATCTTTCTGAGCTTCTATTTCCTAATCTAGAAAAGCAGAAAAATAAGTATTGTCTGCTCTACCTATTTCCCAGGGTATTGTGAAGTCTGAATTAAGTGATAAGTTTACAAATGCTACAAAAAATTCTATGGTATTATTTTTAGAAATGATAGCAATTAAACAATGTGAGCTTCATGGGGAAATAGCACACACATATCTGCCATATAAGTTACCAAGTGTTCACTCTGTGCCAAGAACTTTCATCTGTCATCCAGCTTGTCTTCACAACCATCTATGAAGTAGCTAGTCCTAGTCCTGTTTTGCGGAAAGGAAAAGAAAGCTTAGAGAAGGCAAATAAATTCTTCACAGCCTCCCAGGTGGTAAAGAGCATAAGTAAATCAAAACCCATCATTGGCAGGGCTATGATATTATATAATTGGCATTTCTCCATTGTAAATGATGGAATTTAAATTACATCATGTAAATTTGCTATTGTGTAGAATACATTTTATTTAAAAAATAGTACAGTTGTTAAGTGTTATAACAAAAAAAATGGGCAAATACAAAAATTAGCTGGGTGGGGTGATGCATGCCTGTAGTCTCAGCTACTTGGTAGGACTGAGGCAGGAGAATCCCTTGAACCCAGGAGGCGGAAGTTGCAGTGAGCTGTGATTGTGCCATTGCACTCCAGCCTGGGCGACACAGATCCTGTTTCAAAAAATGAAAAAACAAAAAAACAAAAAACAAAGGACAAAGAAAAATCTTATGGGTACAGGTACTAAAAAAATGTGCTTCATCACCAACGGACATCTATGTTTAACCATACATCACTATGTTTACCAAGTGGGCCACAGTTGAGGCCAAAATAAGTTGAGGGTATGGCTGGTGCAGCTTGAATGGAACTCAAAACCATGCCCTCGACTTAAACAGAACTTTCTCTTTTCTTCCTTTAATGATGGAATCCCTGACTTTCAGATGGTCACAGGCTGCCCAAAATAAAAACTACATTTCCCAGTCTCTTGCAGGTACAACACTGTGATTAAGTTCTCCACAATGGTTGGAGAGTAGAGGCCATGCACATAACTTCAGAATCATGCCCTTCAAGGGAATGAGCACATCCTCCCATATTTTCCACTCTCCCTTTTCTGTCTCCACCTGACAATGAAGCGCAGAGCAGCCATCCTGGTCTATGATGCCAAGAATCTGGGTAACTAATGCCATCCAGCCACCTGCTTACCCTGGACACAGTCTGAACCTAGTTGAATTTTTACATGAGAAAGAAATTTGTTTGGGTTACTTCATTTTGGCCTTTCTGTTACTGTAGCCTGAACTGCAAATGTGACATGATGATATAATAAGAAATGTTTATTTGGTATCTGACTCTGCAAACAACTTCTAAAAGTTTTGGAATTTCTGGGGTGTTAAGAATGTTTTGTGAGGCCAGGCATGGTGGCTCATGAATGTAATCCAAACACTTTGGGAGGCTGAGGCAGGAGGATTGCTTGAGGCCAGGAGTTCGCCATCAGCCTGGCCAACATGGCAAGACCTCATCTGCACAAAAAAAATACAAAAATTAGCTGGGCATAGTGGTGTACACCTGTAGTTTAGCTTGGGAGGCTAAAGCAAGAGGATTGCTTGAGCCCAGGAGATTGAAGATGTAATGAGCTATAATTGCACCAATGGATGACTCTAGCCAGGGCAAC